TTTTTATTTTACATTCGTCTTTTGTCATTTCGCGTTTATCAATTCTTATTTCACATTTCTCATTTTTCCTCTTTCCCATTTCTTGTTTTGTATCTTTCATTTCTCAGTTGGCATTTCTAATTTTCCTTTTCGCATTTCTTATTTCTTATTCCCAATTTCGCATTTCTTTCCAACTTCGCATTTATTATTTCTTATTTCGGGTTTCCCATTACACATTTCTAATTTTTCATTTCGTAATTTTCATTTCACAGTTGTCTTTTGTCATTTCGCATTTTGTTTTTCGTTTCACATTTCTCATTTCGCATTTTGATTTTTGTTTCACATTTCTCATTTCGCATTTATCAATTTTTAATTCCCATTTTTCACTTCTCTTTTCCACACTTTGTCATTTCTTGTTTCACGTTTTTGTTTTCTTATTTGGTATTTCAAGTTTCTCATTTTGCATTTGTCATTTCTCATAACCCACTTCGCATTTATGATTTCTTATATCGGGTTTTTTATTTTACATTCGTCTTTTGTCATTTCGGATTTATCAATTCTTATTTCACATTGCTCATTTTTCCTCTTTCCCATTTCTTGTTTTGTATCTTTCATTTCACAATTGGCATTTCTAATTTTCCTTTTCGCATTTCTTATTTCTTATTCCCAATTTCGCATTTCTTTCCAAATTCGCATTTATCATTTCTTATTTCGGGTTTTCCATTACACATTTCTAATTTTTCATTTCATAATTTTCATTTCACAGTTGTCTTTTGTCATTTCGCATTTTGTTTTTCGTTTCACATTTCTCATTTCGCATTTTGATTTTTGTTTCACATTTCTCATTTCGCATTTATCAATTTTTAATTCACATTTTTCACTTCGTTTTCCACATTTTATCACTTCTTGTTTCACATTTTTGTTTTCTTATTTGGTATTTCAAGTTTCTCATTTCGCATTTGTCATTTCTCATAACCCATTTCGCATTTATGATTTCTTACATTGGGCTTTTTATTTTACATTTGTCTTTTGTCATTTCGCGTTTATCAATTCTTATTTCACATTTCTCATTTTTCCTCTTTCCCATTTCTTGTTTTGTATCTTTCATTTCTCAGTTGGCATTTCTAATTTTCCTTTTTGCATTTCTTATTTCTTATTCCCAATTTCGCATTTCTTTCCAACTTCGCATTTATCATTTCTTATTTCGGGTTTCCCATTACACATTTCTAATTTTTCATTTCATAATTTTCATTTCACAGTTGTCTTTTATCTTTTCGCCTTTTGATTTTCGTTTCACATTCCTCATTTCGCATTTATTAGTTATTAATTCACATTTTTCACTTCGCTTTTCCACACTTTATCATTTCTTGTTTCACATTTTTGTTTTCTCATTTGGTATTTCAAGTTTCTCATTTTGCATTTGTCATTTCTCATAACCCATTTCCCATTTATGATTTCTTATATAGGGTTTTTCATTTTACATTCGTCTTTTGTCATTTCGGATTTATCAATTCTTATTTCACATTTCTCATTTTTTCTCTTTCCCATTTCTTGTTTTGTATCTTTCATTTCACAATTGGCATTTCTAATTTTCCTTTTCGCATTTCTTATTTCTTATTCCCAATTTCGCATTTCTTTCCAAATTCGCATTTATCATTTCTTATTTCGGGTTTTCCATTACACATTTCTAATTTTTCATTTTGCAATTTTCATTTCACAGTTGTCTTTTGTCATTTCGCATTTTGATTTTCGTTTCACATTTCTCAGTTCGCATTTATCAATTTTTAATTCCCATTTTTCACTTCTCTTTTCCACACTTTGTCATTTCTTGTTTCACATTTTTGTTTTCTCATTTGGTATTTCAAGTTTCTCATTTTGCATTTGTCATTTCTCATAACCCATTTCGCATTTATGATTTCATATATCGGGTTTTTCATTTTACATTCGTCTTTTGTCATTTCGGATTTATCAATTCTTATTTCACATTTCTCATTTTTCCTCTTTCCCATTTCTTGTTTTGTATCATTCATTTCTCAGTTGGCATTTCTAATTTTCCTTTTTGCATTTCCTATTTCTTATTCACAATTTCGCATTTCTTTCCAACTTCGCATTTATCATTTCTTATTTCGGGTTTCCCATTACACATTTCTAATTTTTCATTTCGTAATTTTCATTTCACAGTTGTCTTTTGTCATTTCGCATTTTGATTTTCGTTTCACATTTCCCATTTCGCATTTTGATTTTCGTTTCACATTTCTCATTTCGCATTTATCAATTTTTAATTCACATTTTTCACTTCGCTTTTCCACACTTTATCATTTCTTGTTTCACATTTTTGTTTTCTCATTTAGTATTTCATGTTTCTCATTTCGCATTTGTCATTTCTCATAACCCATTTCGCATTTATGATTTCGTACATCGGGTTTTTTATTTTACATTCGTCTTTTGTCATTTTGGATTTATCAATTCTTATTTCACATTTCTCATTTTTCCTCTTTCCCATTTCTTGTTTTGTATCTTTCATTTCACAATTGGCATTTCTAATTTTCCTTTTTGCATTTCCTATTTCTTATTCCCAATTTCGCATTTCTTTCCAACTTCGCATTTATCATTTCTTATTTCGGGTTTCCCATTACACATTTCTAATTTTTCATTTCGTAATTTTCATTTCACAGTTGTCTTTTGTCATTTCGCATTTTGTTTTTCGTTTCACATTTCTCATTTCGCATTTTGATGTTTGTTTCACATTTCTCATTTCGCATTTATCAGTTTTTAATTCGCATTTTTCACTTTGCTTTTCCACACTTTATCATTTCTTGTTTCACATTTTTGTTTTCTCATTTGGTATTTCAAGTTTCTCATTTCGCATTTGTCATTTCTCATAACCCATTTCGCATTTATGATTTCTTATATCGGGTTTTTCATTTTACATTCGTCTTTTGTCATTTTGGATTTATCAATTCTTATTTCACATTTCTCATTTTTCCTCTTTCCCATTTCTTGTTTTGTATCTTTCATTTCACAATTGGCATTTCTAATTTTCCTTTTTGCATTTCCTATTTCTTATTCCCAATTTCGCATTTCTTTCCAACTTCGCATTTATCATTTCTTATTTCGGGTTTCCCATTACACATTTCTAATTTTTCATTTCATAATTTTCATTTCACAGTTGTCTTTTATCTTTTCGCATTTTGATTTTCGTTTCACATTCCTCATTTCGCATTTATCAGTTATTAATTCACATTTTTCACTTCGCTTTTCCACACTTTATCATTTGTTGTTTCACATTTTTGTTTTCTCATTTGGTATTTCAAGTTTCTCATTTCGCATTTGTCATTTCTCATAACCCATTTCGCATTTATGATTTCTTATATCGGGTTTTTCATTTTACATTCGTCTTTTGTCATTTCGGATTTATCAATTCTTATTTCACATTTCTCATTTTTCCTCTTTCCCATTTCTTGTTTTGTATCTTTCATTTCTCAGTTGGCATTTCTAATTTTCCTTTTCGCATTTCTTATTTCTTATTCCCAATTTCGCATTTCTTCTCTGTATTGTGCATACAAGATCATGTATAATTCTAGATTTAGTGAATAATTGTTATATGCCCTCTTAATAACACCCTTTAACTTCCTACGTGCAGATCTAAAGTTTAGGAGGTTAGTCTCGGTCTTATTCGATTTATATTTAGTCTAAAGTGTCCATTTGAGATTAACCATTTTAATAACGTCCATCGTAAACCAAGCAGGGTAAGAAGAATTACGACGACGGTGAGTTTTCGAGACATAACTATCAAGGATTGAATTAAGCTTGTTATAGAAAAGTGAGCAGATGGTATTGACATCAGTGACATCCTTCAAAAAGCCCCAGTTTACTAGACCAAGCTGGTCATAAAGATTATGAAAATCGGCTTTGAGAAAATTCCACTGTGCATTTGAAGACTCACATGTCCCTATGAAGCTACTGAAATTTTTGCTGAAACTCAGTTGGACCTACGATTATGGGAGTTCACGATACTTGACCCCACTTACGAAGAAAAGCACATGTCTTTTGTACTGGGAATGATCTGGAATAGAGATGATGGCACTCTACACCTCTGTCTAGAAAATTTGAAACAAGTTGTATAACCAAGAAGCTAATTTTGTCCAACAAAATTTTCGACCGACTTGGATTTGGACTGGAGTTAAGTATAGACGAAATCTGATATTCTGATAATGATAACAAATCAAATACTTGCTTCGCACCGCTGAAGAATTGATTTCACTGACTTCGAAATTAGTATAGTAGGTAGTAGACAGACAGATGGCTGAATAGTACTGGTGTAACATTTATAAATCGTTATCGTTATTATCAAGTAAAATCAAAAAGTTTCTCTTTTCTAAGCGATGTACTTCAAAATCCTAAATCATCAGAGGAACGACTATTAAAAGTACTTCATATGTATGAATATGAAGTGCTTTATCGCTTATCACATACTTATGCTTTAATTTTCTGTTTGTCTTCGAGCTGATAGAAAAACACAGGAAGTGAGATATCCAAACTTGCCTGATAAAATCACCATTTTTTGTATAAAATGGAAGAAAAAATCTTGACCACCATAGTCAAAATGTTGCACCTCTTGCCGATAATTCTAGCCATTGTCACTAGTACCATTCTGGGTAACCAAACTTTTGGCATCATTCGGTGTAGAAAAACTAACCCAGTTTTTCAGGTGCCCCCCCAAATGGTCGAATCTTCGGTGGAGAACCCTTTCATCGTCCATCTAACCGTTAACTGCGGCGGTACCATCATCAACAAGAACTGGGTACTTTTCTATATATTTGGTAAATGTCGTATTCGAACTGGGGAAAATTTTAATTGTTCGATGATAGTTTATCTTTTGTTTGTTAATGCTTTCTTAAGTCAACGTAGGATTGATATTTTCTTGCGTCACGCACAAAGGTTTCTGGTAAGCATTAGTAATCATCGTAATGGATTTGTCGTGTTTTAAATAACTCCATTTGTTGTCTGATGTTATGAACAACCATGGGTTCTAGTTGTTTCAACACAGTAAATTTGTTCACTGGAAGGTTTCTTCTGGACATTTGTGAATTTTTAATTAATTGGTGAGTTATGTTATATTAGTTAAACTCTTGTCATGTGTAGGACGATTTTGGCAGAAATGTTCAAAGTAGACGACTCAGTGCTAGAAAAAGTGACCGAAATCTTCGGTAGAGACAAACCTGGGGCAGACGAAGACATCGCCACAATTGAAAAATGGATAAACGAACAACCACATTTTTTGGAAACTTTAGGTGTGGTAAATTTGACTTTCAATTTTACATCATTGTGGTTTTTTTGTAGATCGAAGGAGCATTCTCAATTTTCTAATTCTCAATAAGTTCAGCGTCGAAAAAGCGAAACAAAAAATCGACAATTATTACACAACCAGGACTAAACTGGAAGAAATTTATAAAGAGATGGATCCGAAATATCCACATATGAAAGAAGTTAACGAAATCCTGTAATGCGATTATTATGTGTGACAATTGTTATGTCATTATTTTCAGATACTATGTTCCACACCCTCAACTACTCGACTATCACCGAGTATTTTTCATGAAGATCCGTAACGCAGACTTAGTGAACAAGTTAGATGTTCACAACCTTCTACGTTATATAGTGAGTATACACGAAATGAGAATGAGGGAAGATGTCATGTATAAAGATATAAGTATTGTGGATTTTCAAAATGTTCCTTTGACGTTTTTTTTTACGTTGACACCGACTTTTATGATAAAAGCTCTACAAATGATTTATCAGGTAGGGACTTAAGTGTTATCTATGCATACAAAAATTTAATAGGGGTTAAATTACAGCAAATTTATTCTTTCCGACTGAAAGCCTTTTATATTGTTAACTTTCCTTCGTTTGGAGAAATGTTGGTGCGAATTGTACAAAAGGTCGTAAAACCTAAGATTTTTGAAAGGGTGAGTACAAAAATTGGTAAAAACACAGGACCTTATCTTTTTTCAGATGCACATTTTTGCTGACACCAGTTTGCTTCGGGAAGAGTTTTCTGAAGAATTTTTGCCTGAGGATTTTGGTGGGAAAGGAATATCGCTTGAGAAACTACAAGGTATAGATAAATCTCCATTTTATGTGTATTTAAAGTTTTCAATTTTAGAAATGTTGAATGATGAATACGACAAACACAGTGACTTTTTTCAATACTTGAAAAAATTTAAGGTTGATGAAAGTCGTCGGCCAGAAAAACTAGAAAATGATGATGTTTTGGGGTTCTATGGGAATTTTAAACAACTGGACGTGGATTAATCGGCAATAATTGTATTCGTATTTAGACTTATTTTGTTTTCGTACAGGATTTACAGGGTGATTTAGAATTTAAGAACATATATAACCTAAATCAGGTGAAAAGGTTCCAAAAATAGTCAGGACGTTACAAATTGGAATTGTTTTTGTATAAACCTGAAAAACTTAACAATTTTTGACACACAAAATTAAACTACTTGTAAAGTATTACTTGCGTTGATTTATTTTAACATCCTACGCAGCAAAATTTAGGTTTGTAATAAAAACGCTATATAAAAGCGCGTAAATTTGTTATTCCATGAAGCCATCTCATCCTGGACGTTCTACCTTTCCATCTACTTTTAATAAAACCTTCAACTTTCGTAGAACTAATCTAAGTTTTTAGTTTTTCGTTTTTCTCTTTTTCTTTTGTCACATTTTTCCTGTAATTGTCTCTTGCTTTTAAGTACTCTTCTTTCCTTCCCCTGTTATTCTTCCATTTTCTTAATTTTTCCCTTGATTTTCTTTTCAACTTACTACATTCTCCGTTCCATCCATTATTCCTCCCTTGCCATATGTATATCTTTCTTTTTTCCGTAGCTTCTACAATTAGGTTGATCAGTTCTGCTATCATAGCTTCTATATCTTCTTTCACTTCGAATTAATTTTTTTCTAGTCTGCTTTTGTATCTTTCAATTCCCTCTTCACCCCATATTCTTTTTTCTATTTCTTTTCTTTCGTTTCTTCTCTCTTGTTTTTCGTACTCTTGCTCTTTTCCTTTGATTTTTATTTCTAGTGGCATGTGGTTTGATTCTACCCTTTCCCCCAGTTTGAAACTTTCTATTTCTTCCCACGCCTCTTCGTTGACAATCCCATAGTCTATAATTGATTCTGCCCTAGCCCCTAAGTACGTCCATTCTCCTTCTTCATCTCTTTCCTTGTTTCCATTCAAAATTTCCCATTCCATTTCTTCTATTATTTTCCACAATATTTTCCTTTCTTTGTATTAGCTTTGTCTTTTGATCCTCTTTTCTCTCCTTTTTCTTTATCTATTATTCTTGTCCCCTTATCGCCCAGTCTTGCGTTAAAATCCCCTCCTATTAGTATTTTTTCATCTCCTTTTTCTTTTGATTCCTTTTCTATGTTTATATTGGTTTCCTCCATTTTCTAGCTATAAACGATTATTATTTCCCATCGACTGTTATCCAACTGTGTTACTTTCTTCATTAGTCCGTTTTTATTGTTATTTCCCTTTTCCAATTCTTGCATTTCATTTCAAATTCCCATTACTAAGTATTCTCCCGCTTGCTTTCCCCTTTTTCTTTTCCTTTGTCGTCCCTTGACACTCCCAAACATATTCTTGTGGTAGTGTTTCTACAAATTTCTCCCAGTTTTCTCTTTGTACCCATATCCCACGTAGTCCCAGAACTCCTTTTCCTTTTTTCGCAACCCTTGGACATTCCAAAATAGTACATTCACCCCTTTTTCTCCTAATTTTATAGCAGCTTCCTTTTTCTGATTTCCCTATCTGCATCCTTTATTCCTTTTCCTTTGCCTTGTTTCCTTCCATTTTTCCTCCTTTTCTTCCTTTTCTTTTCTGAGCCACCAAACACACTTAAAGCATGCAGAATCGACTCAGAATAGGAAAAGGAGACGTTTAGGTCAATTTTATGCATTCTGGCGTTCGTAGATACAAGAAAACTGTTAAAATTCTTCAGAAACGTCACTTTGTACTAAAAATTTTCTACCTCTTCCTCACTCCATTCAAAATTTCTGCCGTCTACAGTTAACTTTGTATATCCCATTCTAACCATTTTTCCTCTATTTCTCTCTTTTGTTGCCTCTTCTTTTATTTTGATTTGAATTTTTCTTTCCGTTTTCGTCAGATCATCATTTACTTATGTAAATTGACGACCCATTTAAGATCTTCTTGCTTTTCATTACATTTATTTTTTCTTCTCTATTTTCGAATTGCACTACATAAACTTCCTATGTAATTTTGTACGCGCCTTTAACTTTACTCTCTACTTTGGCTTTCTCTTCTAAAAATTTTGAGTCGGTTGTTTGGTGAAGTGTATTTCTTAATTTTTGGGTTGAGTTTTTTAACATTCTACTTAATGAAATTAGGTTTGTCGTAAAAACGCTATACAAAGGCTCTTAAATTTGTTATTCAATGAAGCGATATGGGTTAATTTTAATGACATTCAACTTGTACATTCAACTTTACATAGTCAACGAACTCTTGTCAAACATGTTTAAGGTAGAAGAACCTATATTAGAGAAAGTATTGAAAACTTTCAATAAAGACAAAGAAAGTGCAGAGGATGATATCCGAACCATTCAAAAGTGGGTCCGTGAACAGCCGCATTTCTTGCAACCTTTAGGTAAGTCAAAATTTGACGTTCCATTTCATGGCGGTAAAAATTTTAGAACGGAGAAGTGTGGCGAACTTTCTAATTCTTAATAAATTTAGTATCGAGAAAACTAAACAGAAAATTGACAATTATTATACAAACAGGACCAAGTTGCACGAAATTTATAAGGAATTAATGAATCCTAAATTTTCATACGTGAAGGAAGTCAATCGAATAGCGTACATGCGATCAACATCAACAAAAAGTATTTTATTCATTTATGTTATTTTCAGTTACTGCACTGCACATCCGCAACTACTGAATTACAATAGAGTATTTTTCTTTAAAATTCGTAACCCAGATTTAGTAGAAAAATTAGACCATTACGTTGTATTGCGCTATATGATGGCTTGTCAGGAAATAAGAGTCAGAGAAGATATCATGTACGGAGATATACACGTTTTTGACTGTAAACATATACCTTCATCCTTCTTCTTAAAGTTAACCCCGACGTTCATATATAAATGTCTGATCATGATTTATCAGGTTACAAGTAAAATTTTGTGTTTCCAACAATAAGTACTAAATTGTAGCAAGTTTCGAATGACGGCTGTCTACGTCATTAACTTTCCTTTATTTGGGGGAACACTAATAAGAATGTTGAAGAAGGTCACGAAGCCCAAAATTTTTGAAAGAGTGAGTTTGTAAAATTCACAAAAACACCAACATTTTGTTTGGTTTTAGATGCATTTCTTCTCAGAAGATACTATAATCAAAGACAAGTTTCCTGAAGACTTTTTGCCGATGGAGTTTGGTGGAAAGGGGCTATCGCTTGAGAAACTACAAGGTATAGATGTTGCTCTACGTGCGTTAATTTAATTTTTCTCAATTCAGAAATGATGGTTTCTGAACACGAACAACGTCTTAGTTTCTTCGATTATCTGGAAAAAGTTAAGGTTGATGAAAATCGTCGACCAGCGAAATTGGAAAATGACGAAATGCTGGGATTCTATGGCAATTTCAAAAAACTGAATGTGAATTAGTCGAGCAAGTGGGTTTTTAATGTTTATTTTGGTATTGTAAGTGTGCATTTTATTAGTGATAGACTTTTACAATGTATGTATTTGTAAGTTTTCACGGTATTGAGGGTTTATTATGTGATTAACCATTATAATAAATATTAAAAGACCCTGCTTATTTATTAAATTTTGGTTTAATTGGTGCGTCACAAACAGAGGCGGATCTAGACTGTTGGGGGCCTGATGCTATTATTTAATTGGGGCCCCTTTTATGAATAGAAGTTTGTTAGAAGCATTTAATTTACACATTTTCAATACTTCAATATAAAAAAAAAAACAATAACAAAAAATACAAAAATAAAATATAATAAACAAACAGAAACAAATTATGTAACAATTTTCTTTCTGCATTTGACGTCAGCATACGTTCGTATGGCGCGGTCATACGTAATTGACCTTGTGATGTCATTCTCAATTGCAAGAATCGACAAAGAACTTAGTCTTTCGTTTTTCATTGTCGATCTATATTTATTTTTAATAAAATTCGATTTAGAAAAAGCTCTTTCAGCTTCACAACTGGTCACTGGCAGTGTCAAGAAGATCTTAACTACTGTGTACAGATTCGGGAAAATGTCAATGAGATTTTTACTTCCCGAGCGTAAGCAAAGGAAGTATTGTAATCGAGTCCGTCGGCCGACTCTCTACTTTGACGTTTTCTCGATCTTTCATGACCCCTAGAAGACGAAGAAATAGGTCTCCCATTTCCGTCTGTCTGTCCGTCTGTCCGTCTGTCTGTCCGTCCGTCTGTCCGTCCGTCTGTCCGTCCGTCTGTCCGTCCGTCTGTCCGTCTGTCCGTCTGCCGTCCCGGATTTTTATTAGACAGATAATCTCCGAAAGTACTCGACCGATTGTTGTGAAATTTTGTACTTATATTAAGAATATCATGTAGATGGTAAAACGCTAACCAAAATTTGTCTAATCATCCCCACCACTAATGCGATGACGTCACTTCAAAATTGTACATAGTAAATGGGTTTTCAATTGTGTAAAATAACATAGTCCTACACATGTAGTTTACAACTCTGAATCGACTTTTCACCCGAAACGTCCAGATTTTTGGAAAAAAAATCAAAATTATAAAACAACATTTTGAAATTTAATTTTTAATCTGCTAACCAGAATGCTTTGAAATGTTGCAGATGTTTTAAGGCTATAAAGAGCATCATAAATCTTTAGTCAAAAAATATTTGTTTATCCCCTCCAAAAACTTGATGACGTCAGCTCAAAAGTTTGTGGAATAAATCATATCTTAAATGTACAAAATATGATGAGTCTGTACTTGTGATCTATCACTCCATTCATATTTATTGGATTTGCATATACAGGGTGACTCAAAAAAATTAATGAATGCGTAAATATATTTTATTGATTTAATCAGGAACTACAAAACCGAATGCTCTGAAATCTTGCAGATGTTTTAAGGTCATAAAGAGCATAATAAATGTTTAGTCAAAATATATTTGCTTATCCCCTCCAAAAACTTGATGACGTCAGCTCGAAAGTTTGCCGAATAAATCATATCTAAAATGTTCAAAATATGATGAGCCTGTACTTGTCATTTATCACTCCTTTCATATTTTTTGGATTTGCATATACAGAGTGACTCAAAAAAATTAATGAATGCGTAAATATATTTTATTGATTTAATCAGGAACTACAAAACGGAATGCTCTGACATCTTGCAGATGTTTTAAGATTATAAAGAGCATAATAAATGTTTAGTCAAAATTTATTTGCTTATCCCCTCCAAAAACTTGATGACGTCAGCTCGAAAATTTGCCGAATAAATCATATCTAAAATGTACAAAATATGATCAGTCTGTACTTGTGATCTATCACTCCATTCATATTTTTTGGATTTGCATATACAGGGTGATTCAAGAAAATAAATGAAAGCGTAAATTTATTTTACTGATTTACTCAGGAACTACAAAACCGAATGCTTCGAAATCTTCAAGATATTTTAAAATTATCATAAGCATGGTAAATTTTTGATCAAAACGTATTTGGTCGTCCCCCTTAAAAAATTTATGATGTCACCACAAAATTTTGCTGAATAAATCCTATCTAAAATGTACAAAATATGGTGAGTCTCTTCTTGTGATTTATCATTCCATTCAAATTTTTTCGATTTGCATATACAGGGTGACTCAAAAAAATTAATGGATGCGTAAATTTATTTTATTGATTTAATCAGGAACTACAGAACCGAATGCTTTGAAATCTTGCATATGTTTTAAGGTTATAAAGAGCATAATAAATTTTTAGTCAAAATATATTTGGTTATCCCCTCCAAAAAACTGATGAAGTCAGCTCAAAAGTTTGCCGAATAAATCGTATCTAAAATGTACAAAATATGATGAGTCTGTAGTTGTGATTTATCATTCCATTCATATTTTTGGATTTGCATATGCAGGGTGACTCAAAAAACTTAATAAAGGCGTGAATTTATTTTATCGATTTAATCAGGAATTACAAAACCGAATGCTTTGAAATATTGGGAATATTTTAAAGTTATTATAAGCATGGTAAACTGATGTTCAAAATGTATTTGTTCATCCCTCCTAAAAAAATTGATGACGTCACCCTTAAATTTTGCTGAATAAATCCTATCTAAAATGCAAAAAATATGATGAGTTTGTACTTGTGATTTATCATTCCATTCATATTTTTTAGATTTTCTTAAGAGGTGGTTCAAAAAAATTAATGAAGTCAATTTATTTTATTGATTAAATTAAAGGCAACACTTATTACTAGTATTACACCCCAACCAACCCAATTTGGTAGACACAAAATTTGTTAAAGGAAAAACTCGGTTGAAACATAAGGGTAGCACGCTTATTTACATCGACTTTAACATTACAGACCTGCATTTCTTTTATGCGCTCACTTGGTTCCGCGAATGTGAAATAGACATGTTTATAATCAACCAATTGTGAATTTCACCGTCAAGAATTAAAATAAAACCCAATGTTTTATATAATAAGCGGAAGTCGAAGCAATAAAACCGATGGTCGTTTTGTTTACAGTTTCTCTGTTTGACTCTTAAGTATGCTGTTACGCCTGTCATCTTAAATTAAGAATGTTTATACATACACGATTTTCAGCTGCCTGGGATACGTATACGTGAGTAAATTGTTTCGTTATTTTATTGATTATTACAAATCAATATTCAAAACGACCCAATTCATTTTCCCGAAAATTTGAGAATATAATAATTTTATTCTTAGTATTACACTACATCTATCCCAAACTGATATACGTGTCCTTGCAAAAATGTTGATGACTTCATCGCAATTTTTTTTTAAATTCCCACTACAAAAATGTAATGAGAAAAAACACAATAGGCATGCAGTCGTCAAGTTTCCGACAGCGAGGGAAGTACTGTCTAAACTCTTTAGACCAATTTTTTATTTTCTATTAGAAGGTAAATGATGGGATACATATTTTGTTTGTTTTTCTATTGTACTATCTCTATAATTGATAGTTTATTTATTGAATGTAATTTACTTTACTTTACTTTTCTTTTTATTTGGTATGCTAAACGTGATTTTTATTTTTATTTTTTGGTATATATTACTATTTTTGTTTTCTTTTATTTTTATTTTGTTTTATTGGAAATTGTCCAGTAAGTGGAATATTTGTTCTGTTGGACAATAAATTATATTATTATTATTATTAAAGTAGTTTCTAATGTATACGTTCGTTTTTGCGTCAATAATGTTTTATACACACCTGCAACAACCAAATAAATCTAGACCATTATTAAAATTGTGTTGCTATTGAAAGAACAGAACTGAAACTCAAAACTGATCACCATAGACAAAATACAAAATTCAACAACCTATGAAATCACAAGTCGGTTGTTTGGTGACGTCTATTCCTTAATTTTAGCATTAATTTATTTTGTCATAAAAACGCTATACAAAAGCGCTTAAATTTGTTATTCAATGAAGTGATATGGGTTAATTCTAATGATAAACAAGTTGTACGTTTAACTGAACACAGTCAAGAAACACGTGTCAGATATGTTTAAAGTAGAAGAAACTATATTAGAGAATGTATTTAAAATTTTTAATAAAGACAAAGAAAATGCAGAGGATGATATCCAAACGATTCAAAAGTGGGTCAGTGAACAGCCGCATTTCTTGCAACCTTTAGGTAAGTGATAATTTGACGTTCCATTTTATGGCGGTAAACCTTTTAGAACGAAGAAGTGTCGCGAATTTTCTAATTCTTAATAAATTTAGTATCGAGAAAACTAAACAAAAAATTGACAATTATTATACAATCAGGACCAAGTTGGAAGAAGTTTATAAGGAAATGAATCCTAAATTTTCATCATACGTGAAAGAAGTTAACCAGATAGCGTACGTGCTCAATATCAACAAACAATATTTTATCCAGATTGTTATTTTCAGTTATTGCACTCTCCATCCGCAATTACTGGATTACAACAGAGTACTTTTCTTTAGGAT